CTTGAAATTGAAACTAAGATACAAAGGCGACCTCTAGATATAAACCGATCCCAATATTTATTAAAGGCACTGAAAACTCTTCAAATATTACGCTTTTACTAAATTGAGTTTCAATCTCAAATGAAATATGTATGTGAAATAAATGCCCAGTTTGGCATAGGTCAGAGGTCTGGCGGTGCTACTTATTAGGATGCCATTGATAAAATGCAAACTTGTGGTTAGCACATTTTAGGGGGTTGCTATGCATGCGATTTTAATTTTAGATCGATTAAAATGGCTCGTAAATTTAGCTGCCTCCGCGTGGGCGTTCAGTGTCCAAATAAATAAATGCATCGAATGGGTTGAATTCGCAATCGCACTTGGGCCCACATGTGGGTAGCGCTATCTATATGGATACACATATGCACAAGCAAACGTACATGTCTCTATATATGTATATAGATATGTATATACATATACGTATGTGTATATATATGTATGTATAAATACAAGTATCTCCGGGCTTGTGGTTGTCCATGTCACCCCTGGGTCGTCGTCGCCATTGCCAGTGCAATGCATTGGCCTCCCTTTGGAGAAAATAATAGAGTGTACGGTGTGTACGAGTAGTGCAATTTATTTAAAGTAACATTTTAGTGTTTCCTTCCGCTGAAATTCGTTCTCTTCCTTCCTGTTTGGCAAAGTCCCGCTGTCTTTCCCTCTCTCTCTTTCTCTCTTTCTCTCACACCCTTCTACTGTTTCTGTCGCTCTGACTTTCTGTCTCGCTATCTCGCTGGGCATAGGGCCTCGGCCTGCAGTAGACATACATACATACATATGTATTCGTATTCGTACTCGAGGCATAACAACAGATTGTGGGCAAATAAAATTGCCACAATGTTATCGTTAAGCCTGCAGGACACGCAGTAACAACAACAACAACAACAGCAACAACAACAACATCAGCAACAACACCAACGCCATATCCGTAACTACGGCACGTTCAGAGCCGCCTCCCTGCCGCTTACATACCCTTACATTAAGCTTACATATGCACACATACACACACAGTTGCATATGCCACCATATGGCGGAGCACACACACATACACATACACATGTGTGTGTATACACGTATGTGTTGTACTTAGTTTTTCTGACTGCATTTCATTTGCTACTTTATTCCGACTCATATGTGCAAGTTTCTATATATATATATATGTATGTATACATACACATGGACATACATACACGCATATTGCAATTATACACATGTACAATAGGCGACATTTACCCCACACACACACACACACACTCATACACACAGCCAGCAGATATGACAATATTACATGGATAATGTTGTTCTAGATGCAATTCAACTTTTGTTTACGGCCCGCTTTGTGGAAGCTACGTAATCCTGCAGTTTTGTGCCCAAATCACAGATACACTTACACACACACTCACACAGTGAACAACTGATGAGCGTGTTTGGTATTTTATGGCTCTAGCTGCAACGCTTTTAAGACAAACAAGCCAAAATACAGGCAACACAATTGATCAACTGAAGAATACCCAGTAAAAGTTTAAAAAAATTTAAAGTGAATATAGAATAT